CATAACATGTCTATGTTTCCTCTCAGCAAGACCATTTTGCTGAGGGGTATATGAACATGAAACCATGTGTTTAATTCCTCTATTTGCCAAGAATTCACTGAACATTTGACTCATAAACTCTCTTCCATCATCAGACTGAAAATTCTTTATGGATGCAATAAATTAAGTTGATACAAAGGCATGGAACTTCACAAAAATAGCAAAAGCTTCTTATTTATTAACCATGGGAAAAATCCACATGAATCTTGAATATTCATCTACAAAATTCATATAGTATCTATACCCCTCTTTAGACTTTATTAGAGATAGACCCCATACATCAAAGTGGATCTTATCAAACATATTTCTAGCCCTATCTTGTTTTACAAGAAATGGATGTCTACTCATTTTTCCTTGAATACAAGATTGACACATAGACATACGTGAATTAGAATCTGTACTAACTGATAGATCTGAAGATTTAATCATAAAAATTAATATCTCCTCAAATGGATGTCCAAGCCTTTGGTGCCAAACTGAAACCTGAACCTTCTTTCCTAGAAAAGCAACACAATTACTCAACTTTGCAGCAAAATTATTTGAAAATGTATTGACTGGTATCTTGAACAATTCTCCATCATCATTCTTTTCTTGGTATAAAATCATCATCACTCATTCCTTCGTATAAAATCACCGTTGTGGCCTTATCCTATATAAAAAAAGGTCACATCATCACAAATAAACTAGCAAGCATTGTCCTTACATAATTTCTTAGCTGATAGTAAATTAACAGTGATTATAGGCACATGCAAAACATTGTGTACTATGAAGGAATGATGTGATGATGTAGGAATAATTGAGGAGCCTATATGCTTAACTATCAAACCTTCCCCATTTCCAATTATGATCTTGTCATTCCCATTGTATGTAGTGGCTTGATTGAGATTATTAACATTGATTGTCATATGATGGGTATCTCATGTATCTATGATCCAAGTATCAGATGCAAAAAAGCCATGACCATTCGATGCATGTGCTTGTTGTTGTTCAATATTATCATATGCAATCATTGCAGTCAATGAAGGAGGTGGTGAAGTCCCTTGATAGGTGAGATTGTTCCTATTGGTAGCATTCCAATGCAATATGGCCTCTTCTCCCACATATTTGACACATTATAAACTCTGGAGAAGAACCACCATTATCAGCTCTATGGTAATAATTAGGTGCAGTGTGGCCCTTTCTTGAACAGATTTAATATTCTGGAGAAATTGAAAACTTGTAACTTGTGTTACCATTCCAATGACTGCTTTTTGTACCCCCATTTCTAGAAGAAAAAAAACCATTATTCCCAGAGTATGAATTTCCAGAATTTGAATTGCCATTTTGAGACTGTTTGCCATTGCCCAAGAAATGTCCACTGTTGTTGCCATCTCTATTTCGATTTCTGTTGCCAAAATTTCCATTACCAGAATACTGTCTTGAATTAGTATTCCCATTATTAAACCTTCTATTGTTACCAGAGAAATTTCCTCTTTGTTGGTAAGACCTATTTCCATTGCCAATTCCTCCCTGAAAACTTCCATTATAATCTTGCTAACTTCTCTGAGTATTAGAACTTTCTCCATATTCATAGCCCCCTTGACATCTTTGAGAACTAGATCCTTCACCTTGTACCACCATTGCAGACATAGATGTACTCAATGAATGCATTCTTGATTCAATGCTTGTTTCAGCCCCAAGCAGTTGTGCTAAAAAATCTTTCAAAGACAATTGTTTCTCTATCAAGAATCAATGTCTTGATCATCTCAAAGTCAACAGGTAGTCCTGATAGCACAGCAATCATATAGTCATTATCAGATACCTTTTCACCAGTAGAAATTAGTTAATCCCTTATAGCCTTCAAATTTAACATAAACTTCTCAACAGATTCTACACCCTTTTGTGAAGAATAAAACTCAGTCTTCAATTAATTTGAACCAGAGAAATAAATACAAACCTTTCCTGCAAGCATGTCCATGCTTCTTAGGAAGTCTTACACTCAATGACATATTTTATGGCATCATCAGATAGGTTTGCAATCATTAAACAGAGCAATGCCAAATCCTTCTTTACCCAATTCTTATATGCCGTTGTGACTTCTTTTGTAACACCAGTTTCTATATTGATTACAAACCTTGGAGGACAATGTGATACCCTGTAAAGTAATCAAACAGATCATATCCCCTCAGCATCGATTGGAATTGATAACTCCATTTAACAAAATTGTCATCTTGGAGTTTCATCGTAAGCATACCTAATAATCCTTCAATCTTCACCGACTCAGACATTGTTGAATACCAAGAAAATGTTTTACAAACCAAGCACAAGAAATTCCCATAAAATTCCTTCAAACAAACTTCTGAACAACACTACACTTCGGCTTCGACTTTATGAAATGTAGAAAAACTCAGAAAAACTACTGAAAACCTTTGAATGTTCCTTGCAACCTCAGCTTTGGCCTCTGAAGCACAGAAAATCAACAAATCTTCAATATTTAATACAGAAAGAATGGCCTTGGCCTTGTATCTTTCAATCTTTAACACTTTCAATCTTTACTACTCACATATGGCATCGGCCTTTAATTCATCAAGAAAATATATGCTAAACCCAAAAATCTTCTCACTTAGACATTTAATCGAATATCTGATAAACTGAAAAAACAAAAAACAAGAACTAATGAACCTGAGAAAATTTACAACCTTGAACTTCGAAGAACACTGAAATCTTGAACGTGTGAGATGAATCCACCTAGAAATCCTTCTAGGAAGCACAGCGAAAAACAATCCTACGATCTTACCTCGGCGAGTAATACCATCATAACATAACTAAAGAAATCACAAATGAAGAAATCAATGGAAGTAAGAAAGGCTCGAAAGCTTAGAGAGAGAAAGAGAAATGAGAGTATGTTATTTTCTGAAATGGTTTTACACATATCTTACATTGTTATCTCAGCATATATATAGCTTGAGAATACTAACAGATTATCCTAACCATTCTAACTACCTTGATAAAACAGTTATAACAATAATAACCATAGCTGCCAAGTCATCAATCTTTAATTGTAAATCTGCCATGTCATAAGTGAGCTGCCAAGTCATCAAGTCATCTGCTATAGTCAACAGAATCTACATATAACTTAGTCTAAATTATTTATGAATGCACTACAAAAATTAGACAAACATACTTAAAAATGAGTGGTTAAGGAAAATTTCAAATGATACCATGAAATGTGTCACTTGTAAGTCCTTAATTTATTCCTTTGTTGTCCATTTGTAGCATTTTAGTAGTATCTTTATGGTTTCATCACCCTCCCGGTGTCGCCAGCACATCACGACTTAAATGGATACGTGGACATTCCGGGTCGGGGTGTATTAATGTGGTATCAGAACCAAGGGGTGAGCCTGTACTGACACGCAATTGGGTGGGTCCCCTTTGGCCCCATGTGTTAGGTGAGCCCCGACTTGGCTCCACGTGGTTGTCAATGTAGATCTCCCACGTGTGACCCATTAATTAGGTCCCGCGTGCAGGGGCATGTTGAGTATCCTACATCTGATGGGGGAGAAAGAAAGATGAGTTTAAATATGATTACCCCACTTTAACTAACACCGAGATCTTTTGTGATAAAACCTCACACCTGACGATTTGGGCAGGTGGCAACTATCAAGTTAGGGACAATATCGGTGTTGTTGAAAGTGGGGCCCTTAGCCAGTCTCTTTGAAAATTTGCAACATGGTATCGTTTCTTAGTACTTTAAAGTCTCCAAACTTAGGAGAAGAGAACCTAAATTCGCTCACACCAATATAATTACTTTCATGCCTATTATTTTTGCTTCAAAATAATTATCCTTTTTTCAGTGTCAAATCACAACTCTATTTTTTGTTCTTATGTTTTGGTCTCAACTTGTATATTTTAGGATTACAAGTATCTTCAAGGAGATGTCAAATTTTAAAATTTAAATTTGACTGTCTATGTGGTATTTTAACATCTTTTCAAATTTTACTCTTCACAAGATATATCAAATTAGACTATGATTTTATTACATTAAACATTATAATAAATGTAAAAGAAAACAATAATATAATTAACAAAATGCATTTAATAATCAATTAAAAACAATTTGAAACTGCTAACAATTTTTTACTTGCAATCCACGTCATGCCACATCATATTTGACTTTTCAATTAAAAATATTGTTATTGACTTTTTTTTTTTTTTTTTTTGCTGTTAATATTAAGTGAACGGAGCTTGGCTGCTGAAAAATCAGCAGCAGCTCCTGCTGCTAGCAAATTACAGGTGGACACGTGTCCAAGTAATTGATTTTTTAATCCAGATTGGACAGTGTCCACCTGTGATTTGCTAGCAGTAGGAGCTGCTGCTGATTTTTTCAGTAGTCAAACTCTGTCCATATTAAGTTAGATATTTTGACATCCGTACTCTGAAATGATTGCCCATGTATAGGTTTAGGTAGTGGATTTTGGTGTGGACAATGGAATAGGATTCTCTCCGGATCTTATTTGTGGAGATCCGAAGGATCAATCAATCGTTTCCATTCATCATACATCATGCGGTTAGAAATTATTTTTAATTTTTAATTTAAAATTATATATAAATAATACTTAATGAAAAATGACCACATGATGTACGATAAACAGACACTATTAATTGATTCTCTGGATTCTCACAAAGAGGATCCTTGTCTGTGGATAGTAAGTGTTGAGTGTGAGATGATACAACAAATATTTGGGTCTGAACAAAATCTTCACTTTCATTCTATTAAAAGAAGTGAAAGAATGCGTTCATTGTAGCCGCGCTGACCTTTCTTAGTGAAGAATACACAAGTCAGTCATGCGCAGATATCATGACAAAAGAATTTCAAACTGGACAATCCTTTCCATCTATTCTTTAAAGTCATTAATGCCAAAAACTTAAATCGTGCGGATACACTATATCATAACGTCTTGTGTCAATTAAAAACCGTCACATAAAAAAGTCGTACAAGACATTATATTATTAGCACTCAACATCACAATGACAGCGTATTCGTCCCATAAAACTGAAAGAAAAAGTGAAGAATTCCACAGCCACCCGAACAAAACAACCAAACCAAACACTTCTTTAAATTAAAAAAATGTACAAAAAAAGTTGAAACTTTCTTAAAACGATTCTGCAACTTCAAAAATAATACACTTCTTCAACATGCAGGAAAAACAAAAGAATAGTACATTTCTCCCCTAACCCCAGAAAGCCCCACCCATCAACAACTAGAAGGAACCCACCCCCCCACCCCCTACCCATGAGAGATGGATACGGTCAGTTGCTTGAAAAATATAAACCACACCCTGAAAATTACTCTGCAGACAAATAGCTTTGACTATTTTTTCAACTCTGGGTCTTCCACAGTTGTATAGGCCCTATAGGGTAGCCAGCCCACCACCCACCACCCACCACCCACCACCCCTCAAGTTTCTTGAGACGAGGATGAAAAGACAAGAAATGTAAAAACATCTGGGGGGGAATGTGAAAAATACAAAAAGGAAAAGGGTATGGGAAGAAATAAAAAAAATGGAAGCAGATTTTCCCACCCATGATGAGCACTCAATTTTTGAAACTGAAAATTTGATATCTCAAAAGCTTTTGAAGCTCTCTCACTTTGGTCCCTTGCCATTGTATAAAGGTAGAGACTGTGGGAGACCACAAATGCATGTCCTCTGCCAGGCAAACAAATCCCACTCAGATCTCTCCCCTCCTCCCGGACCCCCACCCCTTTCTACAAATAGCTACTAGTCCTTTTCACATTACTCTTCTCCTGTTTTTTCCTCCTTTTGATGATGTCTCTCCATTCTCCTGCAATATTTGGGACAAAATATTTACTGTGACGGTTCACATCTACAGGTAAGAACATACATTGGAATTGCATAAAGTTCAATGATTTGCACTTCAATTTTTCCAAGTCGTATGTTCAAACTGAAGGACGTTAATGTTTCATGCTAAAATCAATTGGTAGTAAAGGGAACGAACCAACACCTTATAAACCGTTACAAGATTTCTTAATTTTTCAAAGCGCGACTTCTTTTCTTCTACGTACTCGTACAAACTAACTACAAGTACAACTTGGAAAAGTAAAAGAAAACAGAGAGAATAGTTTGAACAAAGAAGAGGATTGATGAAAGAACCAATGTAAAACTTTAGAAATTTGACCAATTTGGCTTTTTCCAAGGTTTTACCCCTTGTCTGTTAAAACTTAAAAGTTAGTTGGGAGGTGTACTGACACAATTTGCTAGTCCTTGACACTTCTTACCCCACAGGTATACCCCCATGTAGTTAATCCCATGTGATTTTCCATACAATTATTTACTGTTTAAAACTCCTTCAACAAAATTATCTTCATCCTATGATCCTAACAAAACTTCTATTATGCTCTCGTGTATCCTATGCACAGCAATTTTCGACCGTTAAAGCACGGTCCTAATCCTCTAGGCTCTACCTAACACATGGGTCTTAAAAATGATTCATTAAACAATGCCAAAAGCATATGGCCCCAGTGACTTGTACACGAAATAAACATTTCAATCTATGTCTACGTTAGGAGACGGTTCTCATCGAGCATTAAAAAAGTTATGGACTGCGAAGCACTACGTGTACAGAATCTACAGACATTGATGCAGCAGTGAAATAAAAAATCAGTTCAAGGAATGAATTGCTTATTTCGTGCACGGCATTTAAGCAGTTTTAAGAAGTTGAATGTTCCAGTTCTAAATTGGCTAGTTGGATGAGTTCTTCATAGGCATTGTGTAATTGTGTGGGGCAATGCCATTGCAACACAGCAACCCAAAACATTCAAACTAAACATTTGCACGGATGGAGGGAGAAGAAGCAACCCTTTTTCTTTTCTCCGGACTACGGACATTGCCCTTAGGAATTAGGACCACAAAGATTTGATTTCCTGACAAAATGACCACAGCACCCTTCCCTCCCATGCCTACACAAAAACTCAAGTGTCGGTACGCCGACAGCGGATGGGGCTCTAAGCATTCATCTTCTTTCTTTACCTTCGTTTTTTGTTTTGGTTTCTTGTATTTACAACAACAACCTGGTTGTTGTAAAGGACGAAGAAAATGACAGGTCTAGGCCACAGAGAAACAAAAGTTTGAGAATTTTCAATGCATACGTGTCATGGCACCTAATTATTCAATGTCTATAACCCTATTTGCTAACAGGTAATACCAAACAAATGATAAGATGGCATGTAAACATTATTAGTGGAACCCCTAATCTTTTTGTTAATTTAGTTTAATTAATAATATGAATCCCACCAACAACATTTCTCATTTTAATTTGTTAATACTATGCATGCCTAGTGCCTAGCATGATATGATAAACAAGCAATTAGGGGCCAAGACTTTCTCGCACTCCAACAGCGTCAGAACTACAGAAAGTACTTGTTCTAATTATATTCTGACAACCAATCATATAGCAGATCTACCTAAATTTCATGACTTTAAAAGATTCAAAAATGACAGAAAACAGAGGATAGGGATGTGCACGAGTTGTTTAGTGAGCATGCGTCAAACTCAAATGCAATACATGAGTCCGACTCATTTGAACCGTAAAATTAGTAGTATTTTTTAACCGTTAGATCTTTGGTTCGAGAATAGAATACCCTTGAGCACCATTATCACGAGACAAGTTCCTATTTGTTTTCTTCAAATTTGTGAGGTCTGAGCACGACATGAATTTGAAAATTGGTAAACAGAACAACAAGCACGTACCCTTGAGTTCTAACTTGTTTTGGGAGCAGCTTGCTTGAAGGCAACAGTGGGAGCTATTCTGCAACTCCTCCTCTGATGCTCGAGCACCAGTTCTCCGGCAAACCAATCGAGCTTCTCGAAATTGCTCTGCTCGCCGATCCTCTTACCGCCAAAGAGCACCGATTCAACATTCTTCTGTTTCAGCATTTCCTCTGCCACTCCTACCAGCTTCTTAACGTTGTTAGGACTTGGGTCTGTATCTACATTTGGCCCGCAACGTCCTAAGCTTGTCCCATTTGCCTAACATATTACAAGTAAACATCCGGTTATTAACCTTTTTTGAAAAACTAATTTCTAAATTGGTCCAGAACATAGACATGCATACCCACTTAGAAATTTAGAATTCAACCACAGTTGGTGCCTACATTATGATATTCCAAACAAAATAAACAAGAATTTGTAAAACAGATGCTCTGCTCAAATTTAATATTAAAATTTAAAACCAAGCAATGCATAAATTTGGAAAGATTCAATTGCTAACAAAAAAAATTGTACCCAACAGTTGAAAACAATTTGGATTGGCAGCTCCAAATTCCGATTTAGGACCACCCTCATAGATAAAAATATACCATGATGGAAAACAGAATATGGCAAAAAGTTGTGGGTCAATTACGATAACCTTTTTTTATCCAAGAGTTAGAGAAAAGAAAAATATTACAATTGAGTCCATTTCGTTTTCTAAAATGGAGAGAAGTGACCACAGCCAAATTAAAGGGAAACCCCACATTCTTTTTGTAGCATTAAGAATTTAAGATTAATATGGTTTGGAGTTAATTACAAAAATGGATGTTAATTAAGGTTTAAGTAAATTGTGAGCCCATCTCTCCAAGCATTTCTACCTACTTACTAGTTACTGCACTAATACAGGTTCAGAAATCCACACAGCAATCCAGGTCAAGATTGGTCCAACTTTCCACAGCAGGGAAAAATAAAGGCTGACAATTAAGGTAAAAGAAAAGGGAAAGAAAGTAAAAAAATAATGGACCACTGCCCCAAGAAGCAAGCTTCAAAGGTAATAAAATTTAAAGCTAAGAAAACAGCAAACAGGGGAAAATCATCAACTTTCTCAGGGAAAATCATGGGATGCAATTGCAGTGGGACCAAAGTTGCTAAGTAAAGCAAAAAAAAATTAAAAGCCAAGAACCGAACCAATTTACTGAGACACCCGTCAAATTTAGGCTTTAGGCCTTAGCTGTTCTACAAAGACAGAAAGTCCTAATCAGCTAACCTACTCCGGACCAACCAAAATCCCTTCCCTCTCGGTCCTTAAATCTAATCGAAAAAACAAAACCAGAGCTCTCTCAAGCTCACACAGGGCGTATCCCTAATCGTATATCGCCCATCATGTGACGTGAGATGGTAAAGGTAGAAAAAAAAAAAAGAGGTGTTTTCCGCACACTACCAAAAGTTTGCAAAACATAAGTGTGCGAAAATCATTTTTCGGTGATAAAGCAAAATTTTGCTCCATTTGGTCTGCGCACTTGCAGCATAGCAACACTTTGGATCGGCAATGCCTCCCACAACACTCCATGGGGCCAAAGATTTTACGTTACAAAACACCCGCATTTAATTGCATGAAAACGAGACCCATGCCCCTGGCGCAAGTTAGCGTCCTCTATACGTGTGTGTCTACACATTTTACATGTCGTTCTTAGCATTACCCAGCCTGGCTAACAGTGTCGTCTCGTAGTCAGTTGCAACAGAAACGGCAAAAAAACAGCCAAACCTCGAAAATTTAACTCCGTGACAAAAAAAAAAAAAAAAAGAATTAAAATTGGGAATTAAAATAATTAAAATTGGGAATTAAATGCGCGCGTTAGTAAAGGTGTGGCGTGTTTCGTACCTGAATGCGCACGTAGTTGCTGCTCCCGGACTGACCAAACGCCATGGCGACGGACTGGTCTACCAGGTCGGATGACCCATCGCCGGCGATTCGGGCCATGGGCCGGGCCCATTCCTTGGCTCGCCACTTCTTCACTTGCTCGTACGCGTACCTCGCTTCTTCCAGAAACTGGCCGCTTCCTATGGAAAGGACCATTATGTCCTCGACCCCTCGCACGAACGGGAACTCCTGCTTGTTGTGCAGGACGTGCGTGATCGCCGCCGCGGTCGGGTTGCTCATGGCCAAGCCGCCGTCCACGGCCAGGCACTTGGTCTGGTTGTTGACGGACTGCATTTGGACCGGTTCGAAGACTCCCGGTTCGGCTGACGTGGCGCGGCAGACCTCCCAGAGGCGGAAGTCGTAGCTGTCGGTCTCGAGGGCGTCCGCCCTGGAGAAGAGAAACGGCGCCGTACTGGAGAGGTCGTAGCACGGAATTAGAACCGGCTTGAGCGTGTCTTTCAACGTCAAGGTCCTGTCGTCGTCTACGAACGCCTCTTTCATCACTTTTTCCAAACCGGCCGTGGCGGACCCCGTAGAACCCGAGCCCGAACCAGAACCTCGAATGAGGCGACGCAGCAAACCGGGGGAGGAGGCGGAGGTGGAGGAGCGGTTATTGTTGAACAAGCTCTTGCCGTGATCGGAGAGGAAGCGCCACGTGTCGTCGGCCTTGAAAATCGGGCGGGCGTGGTCTCTGGTGGCGAAGAGCATGGCTGCGAATATACCTCCGACGCCAGCTCCAGTGGCGACGTCGAAGTAATCGGCGATTCTGGCGTCCGGATTCCCCGATTTCTTCTTCAACGCTTGCTCTAGATACGCCAAGGCCTTTCCGGAGAGAATCCCTCTCATTCCTCCGCCGCCGTCGATGCTGAGAATGCAGACTTTGCCCCTCTGGTTTTTGATCGCCGCGACGCCATTTTCAGATTGGGGCTGAACGCCCACCAGCTGGGCGGGGTCAGGTTTGGAGTCGGAGACCGGCGTGGGGGACGGAGAGACCTGTTTGGGAACCCAGAGCTTCTGATCGTCGTAGCCAAACAGGAACTTGCTCTCCAATATCGAGAATATCTCGTAGCTCAGCTTATCGGTGTCGATGCTCGGCTCCTGGCTTTCGGTCCGAGTCGAATTCATCATCGCCGCAGTAGTCCTCCCCCAAAAAAATGATCAAAATTTCGCCAACCAAAAATCTCGGTTTAAAATTTTCTGTTTTGATCAGACAAAAGGAATGAATTTCACTGCCATTTTATTCAAGTCTCCGCGAAGGATATGAGAGGGAAAGAAGGGGACGAAACGAGGTCGTTTGGGGACGAAAGAAGGGAAAGAAGGCACGCCAACAAAGCAGCATGAAAAGCTAAACCAACGCGAAAAACCAGAAAAGCCAACGAATTGCAGAGGAAGAAGAAGAAGACGAGCAAAAACGCAGAGCTCTGCAGACTCGCAGAGCATGTCTGTTTTTTATATACCCTTTTATTTTTTTATTCAAATTAAATAAATATCAATCACGAGACGATGTCGTTTTTTGTTTCACCCCCAGTAGGTGGTTATTTTACCTTGTTTTTTACACTATCCAGTGGGACAGGGACGGTTGAGGCCGTTGGTTTTGCTCGTCTCGTTTGATCGGACGGTCGGGAGTCCGCGGAGTTCTGTTCGTCCGTGATGAACGGTCAATTGGGGGTTAAAAAGAAAATTTCCTGCTTTCGCGCCCTCGTTGGAACCGCGTGGGGCCCCGCGCGCCACATCCGTCGGTGAGAGAATGTAGAAGCACTACTGCCGATGCTCGTCTCCCCCTTCTGTTTTCCATTAGGGTCTAAATTAGAGCTTTTTCTGTGACAAATTTGACCCTGATTAGGCTGGTGTTGTGGGTACCCACTCGTGATTTTACGTGCTGACGTGTAAGGTGGGTTCCGCTGTTGGGTCAATGGGATTTCCATTTCCTTAGTACGACGGTAAATAGTGAATAGTAAATACCACTACTTTGGGGAAAGGGATGCTCTCCGTATCCCCTTCCATCTAAATCTACTGATCACACAATTCGAATTTTTTAAATTTAATCCAACGGTTCGGATTATATATCAATATATGAAATTCAGGATTTAAAAACTATTGCAGAAAATAAATATTTGAATTTAAAACACATGTATGCAATTCGTGGATTGTTATGGTGAAAAGACATTTTTCTTTAACATATTGCGTTTTGAAGCGTTTTTCTATGAAGTTAGGCGTTTTCCCTCCATCTAGTATAGCTTTAGAATATTAATAATGGATGGTGTTGTTCGCATCCTAATTTTATCTCTGACACATCCTTATTAATCTGTAATCATAAATCTTCTTCAATTATCCGACAACTGAATTAAGAAAGATATATAAAAGTAAAAATTGACGTGTGGTACTCTGAAAATTCATTGGTCGACCGGACTTGGGAACAGTGAGATCTGCCTGCCGGTTGGTTTGGACAATTACTCTCATAGGGTGAAAAGTGAATTTTACAACTGTCACTGTAATAAGTAATACTAAATACGGAAATAGTGGATAACATTTGTTACTCATTAGCAATAAATTAATAAACAACAAAAAATCACAGAGGTTTTTTTATCTTTTTATTTCTTTTGTCGTATAGGATGGAGACAATTGGTCGAGGAGGTTGACTGAATGATCACCGATTAACCACGACCATATTTGGGCTGCCCCTCCGGTAATGCCAGATTTCACAAGCGACCTTTCTTCTTAAAAGTACTGCGATATTTACACACTTTTTTACTTTTTACATATTCTCGTTAATTATTAGTCATTGATCTTTGACATAAACAAGATAAGTACTTTCTTAAAAAAGTGCTCTTTATTATTATTGCAATTAGACCTGGTAAACGGATTGCGTTTGTTTTATTTGTGCCGTTTTGATGTCAGACGCAATATCTTAATGGATCGTGTCGTGTCAAACTCGTTATGTTAATGAGTTCTTAACAAATGACCAGATAACGATATGATTCGTTAACATGTTTTGTTTTATGTCAGGTTAACTTGTAATGACGCAACCCGTCAACGAGTTGACCCGAAACCACTATTGTAAAAATCCATCCCTTGCTCTGTCTAAACCTCATCTAAGCATTAAACAGCTGGTCACCGTTCCGAAATTTGCTAATCAAAACCGAACAAAAAGTTTCGGTTTCGATACTTTCGATTTTGGTAATTTTTGTCCGTGGTATTCGGTTCAGAAAAATGTTTCCGTACTTCTTAAGTGTATATAGACAACTTAATTACTGGATTTGGATTACGTAAATCTATGTACTTTCTCATGCTCTCTGACTTTTCATCGTTCTCCAACTTGCGACATTGTAGTCGTCCTTGTACTAGAGGTGACCAAATTGATGAAATTATTCGAAACATGTTAGTTGTAACATTTTCAAATACAAAGCACACGTGTACGCAGAAAGCCAAGTTTTATTTATTCTGCCTTTTTTTCATAAAACTACAACAACGTTTTGTCAACTTGAATAAATTATTGACTTTTTTAAGTCAATACGGACAAAGGGTTTAATCGTTTGTACATTGTACTTATTTTTTGTGTGACCTTTTTTATTAATTTTTTCTGTGAATAGAGGAACGACTAGTGATAAGTCACAGTTATCCATTATTTTCGGATCTAGAGAGGCAATGGAGAATTTCATCCTACCCGTGGCCACAGTCAAACAAACTTACTAGCTCAGAGCATCAAACCCATGACCTCTCACATTTTTATGTTTATTAGGGAGCCACAGTCCGCACTCTTACCTTTGTGTGATTTTTTAGCGTGACGGTAATACGGATTGGTATACCACCATATGTCTATATACAATTTAAGGGACACTTGAAAAAAAAAAAAAAAATCCCTCCAATTATATAATATCATGTGGCATACCACATACTATCTCATATTTCGGTCACACTAAAAAAAAAATTCTCATTAATTTTGTTGTCATAAACTTAACATATATCAATCGATTAGTAAAATCACTGAAAGGTCACAAATAAAATGAGTGCAAAAGATTTAATCCCGTGGACAAAAAAAAATATTTACTTATGGTTCAAAAAACAGTCATTGCTTGTAAACCTCAAAAGGTGCTGATTGTGGAAGGAGGGCCAATCAAATTCAAAGAAGAAAAATGTGAAAAGGGGGGAAAAGTCTTTGAAAACAGTAATTTGCTTAAGGAATTTTTGCCCCAAAAGCCTGAATTAGAGATTGATTAGCTTAGTTAAGCATAGTTCCTTCCTTTATGTCTCCTCCAAGAGTTGACAATTTTTATCTAATTAAACAATTTAATTAATTATTTGGTTGGTGATTAGGCAGTTGCCTTATGTATTATCCACAAAAATATTTGTGATTTGTTTAAAATAAGTAAGGGAAGGACAGTTTTAGTGTTGGTGTTCCACTAATACTCACAACACATCGTTTTAGTGTTCCACTTTTCCTTATTGCTTTGCTTAGTGCTTGTAATCTACTACCATCATGTTTTTCATGAAGATAATACATCCAATTTCAAGCCCCTATGAACAACATGGGTAGATGATCGTCAGTGTTGAAGGGAATGAACGTCATTATCAGTCATTCACATTGATCAACATTCGATAATCATCAACTAAAGCAAACAATAGTTACTGGCAATCGTTTCCTTACATTTACAACTAATAATCAAAACATGAAACGAATTATGATTATTTTACGAGTCGGGTAGATACATCAACAGATGATAATCGCCTAATCTGAAATAATTGAAGGCTATTATTATCTGTTATATCTTCTGAACCCACTTTTGGAACACATTATATATGCCTAAGACATTCTTGATGAGTTGGGCTGTCATGTCCAATGGGCCCAAATACTTGACCCTTATGGATATTTCTTTTATGGTTGGCTCGTCTAAGGTTGTTTTTCTCGTTGGGTCAAACTATTTCTCTTGGGCTAAAGTCCGTAAAAATTGGGGGCGTTCATATATATTCAAACTAATTTCGACAAGAGTAAACTAATTTTTTTTTTAATACATTAAAGAATTCGTCACATTAAAGAAAGAGGGAGTTCGACTAAATAACACAATGGGCAACCTAATTTGGTATCGAATTCGTCATCCACGATATTCGAACCTAAGACCTCTCACTTTCAAGTGAAGAGGAATGACACCAAATTAATTTAGAGAAAAACACATCAAACCACACACACCGCTATTGAATTGAAATGGAAGAATGACACCAAATTAAGGAACTTGCAAATTTAAAGGAATTTAGGCCAAATGAGGAAGAAACGGATGACAACAAGTTAGATTGATAGGAGGAATTAGAAATACAATATCAAATGTATGAAAGAGAGATTTCTACGTCAAAGACAGTTATTAAGTTGCCATATGAGAACCAGTCTCACATGTTTTTGTAATGCAAGCTATCACGTGGTGCATTGCTAGGGAACGATTTTGCACCACTTGGATTTTAGGCGAAAATGCCACCTGAAAAACAATATTCTGACAAAGTTGTATCGATATTTCAAACGTTAAAATACTCTTGAAAAGAGTGAGTCGTGTGCAAATCACATACAAAGTTTTTAGATGAGAAAGTAGATGGAATTAAACTACAAGCGATACATTGTTTCAAACCTTTTTTTCTTTGTAAATTACAAATTGCAACACGTCCATAACTCAGATTATGACATGAACAAGTCGTACGACATTTTCAAATTTTATTGCAAATGCAAGTTTTTCGATATTTAGAAAGAACAATCAAATCAAAATTTGAATTAACAAGTATACGTTGATGTTGGTCTCCTATCCCACACTCTAATTTTTTGTAAATCAAAGAAAGCTTGTCCTGGCTGCAGCTCCATAGCGGCTCCGTCTAATGTTAGCGCGGCGTTTCTTGTACACGAAGCCACCAAACCCAATCAGTCCTACCCCAATCAGCACTCCAAACACTATCCCTGCCTTCTGTCCACCACTCAGTCCTCCTGAAGACCCTTTGCTATTTGTAGGTGGTGGTGGTGGCAGAGGTGGCTGTGATGGTGGCAGAGACGGTGGTGATGGTGCCAGAGGTGGCTGTGATGGTGGTGGTGATGGTGCCAGAGGTGGCTGTGGTGATGGTGCCAGAGGTGGATGTGATGGTGGTGGTGATGGTGCCAGAGGTGGATGTGATGGTGGTGGTGATGGTGCCAGAGGTGGCTGTGGTGATGGTGCCAGAGGTGGATGTGATGGTGGTGGTGATGGTGCCAAAGGTGGCTGTGATGGTGGTGATGGTGATGGCGATGTCGTTCGCTCTCCAGTGGGCGCAGGCCGTGGTGCGCCCAATCCTAACTGGTTGAAGGAAGTCACAAACTTAACATAGAGAACCAAAACTAGGACACAATAGGAGCATAAATGAAGCAGTTTGGCCATGAGAGAGCTTTCGAGTTTTCGATGATGTACAGAAAACAATCAACAACTTGAAATGCAGGTTCATATATGCACAAAGTATAACTGTTTAACCTTCACAGAACCAGAAAAAGACAAGAAGCAGACGGCAAAAAAAACCTGGTACGAAGTTATCAAGGTAAAACCAAGGATGAGAGCTAATCGCCCGCCTGGGTTTTGTCTTGCTGTTTGATCTTCTCAAAACATAGTATAGTTCGCCGACCAATTGAGAAATGCTGTATTTTTGTTTTGTTTTCCTTGTTGGTTTCTTACTGTCTTTTCCTGCACCCTTGTGTTTCTGTTTGTTTTTTTCTTTGTCTTCTATGGACATGTCAATTTTTCGATGCATTCACAACTCCAGTTAGTTCCACCTTGATCAACTGTGAGATGTCCGAGACCTACAGGAAAATCGAGTGGCGATAAACAATTCACATTTCCAAAGTAAAACAGAAGTTTGTGTATTATGGAAAGGATTACTTAAGCATCTGTAAAAACAGAACTTTGCGACACAAGAAATGGCGAAAAGAAAACATTGCTTGCCTTGGAATAGTGCTGCAGAACTGGTGAGTGATTACATAATGTCATCCACTTGATCACCAAGAAGATCAACCTATTCATGACACACATCAACCAATATTAAACTTGAAATGATTTAATCATGAACTAATCAAAACCGAAAATATTAATTTACAGCAGCCGAGAACCCCAGTTTCAGCCTTCCGGAGATCATGACATCTCCTAGTAAAAGTGTCCAGATGCATAGTTCTCAAGGAGGATACAAGTTTGACGAGTGTATCAAAACTATCCTTCATCTTGTCCAATCTGTAAAGAAGTAGGATTGCAAACTGGTTAGTCTACCAGAAGCCTACTAGAAGTAAATTAAAGCTTGAGTGAGGAATGACTTGTACATAGAGCAATACCTCAAAAAGTTCATTTCCAACTTATCGCTCGTTCTGTGTTCAAAATCAGCCAATGCTTGTGATTTGTGAAAATCTGAGGGCAGGTGGAGATAAAGAAACAGATGAGTTTAATTGGACCTCTTCGTGTGGTTTAGGTTGGCAGTAAGAAGGCTCTTGGTAATGACACTCTCCATCTTAAAAGAAATTAAACTCCATCTTCCACTCCTTCATGGTTTCTCTGATGAAAACCGTATAGACATCCTCCCTGATAAAACTTTCTGCGGATAAACTGTGTAGTAACAGTATCTCGATACTGATCCAATTCATCACTGGTTGTTTTAACTACACCTTTGATGGTCTCGGATGTGGTAAGCCGTTCTATCTCTTGTCTAATATGGCTTTCGGTTTCATGGCTATCTATGCATTCATTCCATTCCTTACACATTTCCTACAAAAGGGTCCAGCATACATCCTCTAATTGTGCCTTCCAGGAATATACTATTTTCAGCCCTCAAAACCTGCACTCTACTAATGTAATCTTACCATTTGAGCCATAATCCGTGATTCCCTCGCGGATGACGGTGCAATATATATCTTCTCTGGTTCGAGATTCATTGCTGACACTTGCTATGTTCTCCTTCCATTGATTGACCACTTCTGTGAGGAGAACCTTGCACATGTCCTTCGAAGTCGCATTCTCTAACTCATAATCCTGTAACTCAATGTCATTTTGTTTTATCATACCTTCAAGAAGAGCAACATAGGTCTTTCCATTATCACGGCTCTCATATCTTCTTCTTCTTGCTCTAGCTCCGCTTTCATCCGCTCATTTTGTAGTTTTTCATAAGGTATTTTATCCATCTTCCAAAGTATCAAGTTCCAAATTCTTGTCGCGACTTGCATCAGACTTCAGAAACCTGTGGTCCGAAAGAGTTTCTTCCTTGTGACGGAACTTACAATCTCTTAATTTGTCTAGTCTTAAAATAAATTTTTGGACCTTTTCTTTCAAGCTGTTTTCTTGCATCCCCATCTCTTCTCTCTTGCTTGACAAATTCAACTTTTGTCGAAGAATTTCTCGCCTCAGCAAATTCAGCTCCTCTGCCTCTGCACTCTTCTTCCGGATGATGGACTAGTGATTCCTTATCATCTTCGAAACATAATGCCCTCCCTCGTCTTTATTTACCTCTTTGTGGAGTTCCTGCATTGACTCTTTAGCCTTTAAAGACCGCTGTTTTTCCAGCTTTCCATGACTATAATCTTCTGGTGAATGTTTTTTCGCCTCCAACGTTGTCTGCAATGAATCAATACTTTTCACTTCCACCTCATTCTGACCTACGAAAGACTAATTTGCGGCGCAAATTTGCAACCTCATTCATCAAATCGGACCAATACTCCTTCAAGCCAAGAGAAACCTGATTCTCTTTTTCTTGGAAATCCGTCATAAACCCCTTGAGCAAAATAGACATTGTTTCTTCTCAAAACTGCATCTCCATTGCTGCTCGATTGGCCCGACATCAGACTTGAAAATGGCATTGTGCATTTTCCCGAAAGCCAGATCCAAGTGTCTGAACCCATCTGCTCGATCCTCTTCTTGTCACACCTTCTACTACTTCAGGATTTCCTTCCTTGTCCTTATAATCCGGCTCGAGCTTCTGCCTGATATTCAAAACCTGCTGATCCACTGAATTCTTCAACTCAGAGCAAAACTTATTATCTCTATCACCACCATCACCATCATCTTCTGTCATCATCCCCACTCAATCTATTATCAAGAATGTACTCTTCAACCGGCTCACTTGTCGTTATTCTTTCGAGCTTGACATTCATGCTACTCGCACGCAGCGAAGCCAACTCCAAATCCTTTGCCTTGATTGCCAGCTGAGACTCCTTGAGCTGCCCTTGAAGGCGGGTTTGGATTTCAGACAGGTCTTCTAAAAGCTGCTCGTGGCTGCTCTCGAGAGCGTAGCTGTCTGTTTCTGGTCGAACAAACTTCAAACACCCTTCTAGCTGCATTACAGCCAATTCATAAAATCTGCAGATCCCATTCAAGCGCTGGAGAACGCCTTCTTTCGACTGCATTTTTTCGTTGCTTGGTGCACAATCCACATCATGGTCGAATCCATCATCCTTAATTGTTATTTTACTAAAAATCAACAAAAAATAAAGGATTAGATGCAGAAAAACTCATCTTCTATGGTGGAAACAAAACATATGGTAAATTATTAGCAGAAAAACGATCTCTATTTTCTCATATTGCCCAAGAAACGTGGGTGATCTGTTGTATGACCTTTCTAAGGTATTGCTTTTATCAATTGAATTCAATTTTATCCTTGCAAGGTTAATATTTTTTCATTTATTTGATGCAAGAGATAATAGAGGAGCGGGATTCAAACACGATACCTCAAATATATGCACATCACACATCACATGCTCGTAACACGTGAACTATAATTTCATACCCTCGTAAACCCTTAATCTAATAGTAGCCAAAGCCCATATTTGGATCCCTTTAATTGGACCAAAAATAAGGTTTGGGAATTTGGGGTATTGAAGCTTTTTCATATGACAAACGATTGGATAATTTACACTAAACTGCGAGAAACAAAGAGGAACTTGAGCAAGGAACCTCGTATGCAAATGCAACTACTTTTAACCTGCTTAGCTAGGAGTTGACATTTTATGAAAGTCACATGAAGCAATATAAATTCTTTAATTAATTACTAATACATTTATTTGAAACTAAATCCCCTCCGACTTAATAAAACTGAGACTGCTGAGTAAGGGATTCAGATTGTTGAAATTTGATCCAACGACTATAAACAGGAGGTCATCTAAGAGTTATAATAATTGTAGTCATTGAATCAAATTTCAACGGTCTAGATTCTTGCTCAGCAGACTTAGTATATTTGGATCCAGAGGGATCCAGTTCCCATTATTTAAACTTGAAGTGACATGTCATGCCGTCATTGGCTGCATTTGCTTCTTCTTCCTTCCTACAAGTTCAGCTAAACTAAGGACCAAGCCGTAGAGTTCTACACTAGGCACCACCACCTCCATTCGCGGCGGCGGCGCGTTCAGCTCGAGTACGAAGCCACTCCACCATTTCACCGAACACCAAATCCACATTCTCCTGGGACTCGCCAACCAGCTGGTGCCACAGGCCCTCATGGATCCTGAGCGTTTTGTCCTTGCTCGACGCGCGCCTGTACAGCTCCTCCGCGCACGCGGGGTCGCAGACGACGTCATCGCCGCCATGGACTATCAGCAGTGGCACCTCCACCTCCTCGAATTTCCCCTGCAACTCCTTGCACACTCTCAGCAGCTCAAGCGCCGTCGCAGCGCGTGGCCTCGCCACCGACCTCCTCGGACTCGCCAGCGCCAGCTTCCGCTTCCACTCCTCCTTGAACGACACGTCCGGGAGCGACCCACGCGTGGGAACCACCCGCCACGTCGGGATCACCGCGGCCACGAGGAAGAGCAGGTGCTCGAGCGGCCACGGCGGCTTGAACTTGGGGCTGATCCCGCACATGGCGCCGTTGAGGATGAGACCGTCCCACGCGCCGCTTCCTTGCCGGAGCGTGATGAGAAGGGCGATCGCGCCGCCGAGGGACTCAGAGTAGAGGAACGAGGGGCGGTTCTTCGGCGCGTGGTTGGCACGAAACGAGTCGAAGAAAGAGATGCAGTCGTCGACTACGAGGTTGATGTCGGGGATGTGAGCGACGAGTCCATCAGAGAATCCATGGCCCTGGTGGTCGATGGCGCAGACGGCGAAGCCGGACTTGGCGAAATGGACGGCGGTGAGCTGGACGAACCAGCTGGTCTCGCCGGTGTAGCCGTGGACGATGGCGAGGGTCCCGACGATCTCAGTCGGAGGCAGCGGGGTCCACCACTGGGTGAAGAGCTTGAGGCCTCTGGGGTTTGTGGTGTACTCGGAGGCGTGGGAGACGTTGTGGCGGGAATAGAAGGCCTCCGGAGTTAACGCGCCGAAGGGGCTTTGCTCGTTCGCCTCCGCAATCGGGTGCGCCATTTTGAACTTGCGGTTGCTAAAATGCGCTGGGTGGGTTACTTATTCTTGGTGCTGGCCCTGATGGTTGGGCAGGGTTGGGTTGAAGTTGGTTGTGATGGGTGGGTGTGATGGGTCACAATATTAATGCTGGATGAATGCATTGCAATGCTTTTTATAGAGTTGTGGTAGTGTCGGTCGCATTTAGACTTAACTTAATTGTTCAAAGGTGTGTTGAGTTGTCATAATCATTCAAAGGTGCGAAATCTAAAGAGTTATGCTAACGGCAATCGCGTGTTGATGCTATTAAAGTTGTTGGAAGATGTGTTGTGCTAGCTTCAGTTACACGAAACACCCTCATAGTCGATAAAACTAGAGAACAAATGGGGGTGTAACTGTATAGATATGTCAAAACAACCCTACTGCCACTCTACTGTTAATCGCCCATCAGATAATCCAGTGTGGGCGATGATGCCTAATGTATTACGGCTGAGCTTCATAGAGCAATTTAATGTATATTTTGCTTGTCAAAAACTTGAAACTATGTTTTTATGCATAGAATGTGAGTTTCAGATTGTAGTATTGTCAAATTATCAGAGACGTGTCAAAAACCCACTTCTAACAGTACCGATATTGTCTCTAACTTATTATTACCACATGCACAGTTCAACAAGTGCAGGTTTTATCGCAAAAAGGCAGTGTTCGTCGAATATTTAAACTCCTCTTTTCTCTCTCATCCTACCAATGTGAGATATTTCAACACCACCTCATGTGGGACCCAATTAGTAAGTGACACATGGGAAATCCATACATCGGCACCCACGTAAAGCCAAGGGGTTTCACCCAACAAGCGGGGCCAAGGGACACACCATTAGGCGGCGCAACTTGCTTCTAATACCATAAAAAAAAATATAATTCCACCGTAAAACCAATTGTAAACAATGTTATTCTGTTCATAGAAAATTAGCAGTACAAGCATTTAGCGTCGTATTAGCACCCAACAATATACAGGTCCAGACATCCTGCTCCATAGTTGAAACAAGAATTACAATTTTTCCTTGTATCATCTTCGTCTTGTTGACATATACCCCCAAGAGAAGACTCTACATATTAAGACCACACCTAATAAAGACTGTACATTATTGTCTGTGACATTCGATTCCTAGACTCGTTGTCAAAAGATGAGATCAGCCTCTTCGTCTGCGCAAGCTGAAAGAAGAAAACCCTCATATCAGATGATCGAATTTCGAGATCAAGTCATTACTTGGTATTTTTAAGAAAGAAGAACACACAGCTTGGTGTTTGTTCATGCATAGGCAAACGGAAAATGGTTAGTGTATGAACTGAAAGACAACTGCTGGGAATAAAAAGTATACGAGCGGACATAACCAATCAGAAGAGACCATCAACTATTAATTGACAAAGCGGATAGAAAAGATTTCATTGATATACAAATAGAGCCCCTATCAGCATCAAATCAATTAACCTGATCACCGGCTCATAGTCTCAACTCTGCCAGTACTATGTTATCTTCACAGAACAACCCCCCACCTAGAAAGAAGTCTGTCCATGACATGCCCGAAGCAAGCATATGATCGTCTTATCATTACAGTCTTTCACAACTACCATCACACATTTCATTTGCCGCAGTCTATAAATTTAAGCAAAAGGATGTCATTCATATTGTTTTCCAACTGCACCAAGAATATACCACCACATAGACCATTCAAATTAGAGACTTCTTACGTACCCATTCTTCACATATATGTCGACATGCTTTAGGGCATAAATCCATAGGGACGCCAATAAGTTTGTGAGAATATATGATCATGGATGACAATGCTGTACCTCGCACTGATATCCTCCCCCAATTTAGCACTTTATCACCCTGGAATTAGGCATTCCCACTATTCCCAGCTCAACAAGACAATACTGATAGTTAAACCAAAAACTGTTAACCTCTACGGAAAAAAAGTCCCCATGTTAATCGACAGCACATGCACTCCTTGTTGAATCTTTTGAAGTAATTTGCATCTAATCTGCTGATACCGCTCATTAATGATATCTCATTCAGTCCTCCAGTCACCTCCTTTACCAGCTTCTCCAAACAAAGTACTCTAAAAACATTCTACATAAAACGACTGTGACAAGAATCCTTGTCAAGCTGATCAATTCTTAGGCAACAAGCCACCACCCGCCCACCATTTACAGGCTCACAAAAGCAGGTAGAATCTTTGAATCCTCTAACAAAAAGATTGACCCGACCTTGATAACAATCAGTTTATGCTTAAACTAATCGATAAACAAAAAAGACATGACAGGATTTCAGCATCATCTTGTGTCCAAATGCAATCAAACCAGAGGCACACTGCTCGAATTCCGAATACCTATTCTACACTATCAATAAGTTTTCTTTCTCACACATAATTAAGAGAATGCCACATTGAACTCCCTAAGCAACGATTATACAACAACATCCCTCAAAGAATTCGATTTTAACCCCAATTTTCCTCCCAAAATAAATAATTCCCCACATACAATACCAAAGAAGCTCATAAAAACAAAACCCAAATCATAAAATTTCAATTCCAACACAAATTTCAAAACTTTATCATGTCAAATCAAAAGGGGCTCAGATAAATTCAAGTTTACCTCCACAGCAGAAGCAGCAAGAGAGAAGCATCAGAGTCTCTCCGCAGAGTCCAGCGAAAATTCTATCTCTTCCATGAGCCTTTGGATTGGTCAAGTCCGCCGCTTTTCCGTTGACTTGGCCTCGTGGGCTATCCAACTGTTTGGCGGCTCCGCCGTCTTTGCCGTCGAGCAGGTTCTGCTTGACTGATTTTTGTGATTCCTTCGCGCTTTTCATCCTCTGGAGGTTCCAGTCGAGCTTCCTCAGGTAATCGAGCTTGAAGGAGTCTCTGATCGTCGCCGACGGCCATAGATGCATGTCTCTCTCTCTCTTTCTCTCTCTCTCTCTCTCTTTTTGTGCACTGGTGGTCTTCGACGACGGAGGAAATGGAGGGGACTGTATGTTTCGACAAGAAGAGGGACGCGTAATAATTGGCTCCCTGAGCAAAGTCAGATGATTGGCAGAACGGACACGTTCCTCCCCAACGACGTCGTTGGCCTTCTTCATTTTGTTGAGCAGATAACTACTTACCGATACTTTTATCACAAGTAAAATGTCCTACGTTCGATTTATGAAACTAACTATGAACTTGTTATCTATACACGACAAAAAATCGAGAGTTATAGCTCACATTTTTGTGAAAAGAGGCAATTGTTGAGTTTATGCGAAGATATTACAAATGATTTAGAAGTGATCCAACCAGTTTACAAGCCCCATAAGGGTTTTTATTGAAACTTTAGGTTGAAAATTTGAAAATTCAAGAAAAATACTAATAGGGCTCAAAACTGAGTTATGAATTTTATGAAGCATGTGATGGGTCAAGAACTTAGTAAAACAAATAAAAACGGAGAGATAGATCATAATTTTTGGAAAAAATGCGATTGTTGAGTTTTTTTCAAGATCATTATATTTTAATTAATTATCACTTAACCAACCTTGTTACCAAGTTCAAATTTCCTTCCTCCTAAATAAGAATAGGATATGCTCATGAGTAAAAAAAAAAAAAAAAAAATACACCTTTTTGTGATTATAACTAAATTGAAATGAAAATTTTATTGTATAGTACAAAAATACGCTCATGCAATAAATAATTTACGTGTTATGATATGAATAGACAACGAGGTTATGCTTTTGGTATGATATTGGTATCAATTTTTATTTACACGTAAAAAAGAAATAATTATAGCTTTTGACAGCGTTTTAGTTTCACGCAATAATTTATCATTGAGATGAGAAAATTCCCTTCAGGACTAAAAGCAAGTGTCTAAATACTTTATGTAACAAAGGATAGTGATATTCACACACTCATTTTTACCCTACACACTATTGTTAATTTTTTTGTCATTAGTCTTCTTCGATATATTCGATCCGATAACTGAAAATTAAAAACGTGCGTAAAAAATAAAAACGAGTGCGTGACTAATACTATCATATAATGAAATATGGCCTATTGCATTGAGTGGATGGGCGTCCCCATTCTGTGGATTGGGGGATGGTCATGTGTGGTTTTATTGGGCATGGCCGCATGGGATGTAAAGAAGGCTTGGAGTTGGACAACTGTGTTAAGTTATGGGTTTGGATCAACAAGTGAATGAGACTTGGCGTATGACGATCCAACATGATCTTCTCCGCATCCTTTTAATGAAGGTCTTGGAGATCTGTGAATCATGTCCATTTATCGTACATTATGCGATTAATTTTTGTCAGGTACTGTTTGTGTTTAATTTTAAATAAAAATATTTAAAATGATTTATGACCCCACAATGTACGATGAACAGACACGATTTATAGATTCCCAAGATCCTCACAAAGAGGATTCGGCAAGAATCTGGATTCTACGATGATGAAGCAGAATTGACAATGACGTGGAAAGACTTGGTCCGTTAGATAAATGCATGTGTTACTCTCAAATTCTCAATCAAGATTTGTTGGTGATTTATAGTGATGTGTCGTTTGGTGGCCAAACTAGAGATGGTAAAGTGTAGTGATTAGCTCTTTAATTGCTTTTCTTCAAAGGTAAGTTAACTACCCCTTTTATTTAAAGCATAAAAGTCAATACACTCAAACTTGTTACATTTAGCCTTAATTTGGTACTGTGATAATTCTGAAAAAAATGGCTGTCAAAAAAAGCTGGGAGCTTTTTTCTGTTTGGTAAATATTCAGCTTCAGTTTTTTTTCACAGTTTTGAGTGAAAAAAAAGCCAAAAACACAAAGCTGCAAAACCCAGCTTTGAAAAATCAACTTTTTTTTCACATCTGTCTTACATAAAAGTTTATCAAACACTATAATACTGTTTTTTTATTTTATCAAAAGCACTTTTACAAAAATGTTTACCAAACACTCTGCTGCTTTATTTCACAGCTACTTATTCTCACAGCACAGCAGAAACAATTTTTTTCAAAGCACAGCAATACCAAACCAGCCCTTAGAACCAGCGGGAATTGATCCAGCGGTTAAAGTTTTTATCTTCAACTCATTGTATTTCGGGTTTGAACTCTCCCTCCTCCTAGCGATTAGTGTAGAATATGTACTAAATAAAAAGTTGTTACATTCAATATCAATCCCAATTAAAGCAAATAATAAGACCCACAAAAACAAAGTTAAAAACTACATTGCAATGCACCATATGACAACAGAAATGAATGCCACGTTGCGTATATGATACATACAATAATTTCTCCTGATCATAACAGTACATTTACGGTGATGTTTTGCTATGATCACAACACCATCTGCAGCTCCAAAACCGATGAACGGCCTTCATGATCACTCATCGACGGGGATCACACACAGCCGGTCATGTGGAGCTTTGATTCTTTGAGCATGTATACATATGAACACACACATATATGTCTTGATTAAGATTGAACAACAATCAAATGCCGGTAGCTGCAGACGATGAGATTAGATAAGGGTTGCAAGTTCAGGGTGCGCAAAACCAATACCCAAGTGAGAGAGACCGAAGGGATTTTCGTACCTGTAACTTTGGAATGTATATCGCTCAAGCTCAGTGAGGTTTTCATACCTGAAGTTGTGGAGCAACGTGGGTGTCCAGAGAAAACCAAAGTGAGTGAGAAGGAAGCAGACGAGGTTGGTGATGGGTGCCATAAGAAAATTTGATTAATTTGTTGGTAATTTTTTGCAGTTGAAGTCTGAAAGGGAAGTGGTAGGCAGTGTTTGCTAAATAGAATTGCAGGTGGGGGTGGTTGCTTAACTTTGAAGTATTGCATTTGCATGCCGTGCTACCATAGGCAATCATAGAAGCGTGCACACCACAGCACCGTTTGCTTTGCTTATTTGCTTTTCAGATAGGTCTCTCTCTCAGTTAATTACATCAATGTGAGCATTTTTATCTCGAGTTAACTGCAGGTTACTCCACAAGTTTTGGGGTCGATTGCAGATGGCCACGAGGTTTTAATTTTGTGCATTTTACACCACCTGATTTCTGAATTGTACCGACTAACCTTTCCGTCTATTTTACTGTTAAATTATGCATTAATTGCTGATGTGACATATATTAGGCTTGCATTTTAAGCACACGTTCATAAAAGAATTAAAAGAGTAAAAGAGTACAAATTACTAAACATTGAAATTGAAGGTCAACGGGTGCGTAAAATGTGAGCTTAGTTAACGTCCAATTAAAGGGTGAAATTGACAGAGATGTTAACTTTGTGTAATTCAGAAACCACGTGGTGTGAAATACAAAAATTAGAAGCTCATGATTCATTTTGCAATTGACTCCCAGACCATACAGTGTAAAATACAGTTACATATTCTATGTTTCATATCATTTCTATCTATTTTTCTAATCACACATGACTAATGTACGAGAGTGAGAGGGCAACAACTACCAATCCTTGCATCTACATCTTAAACTTAAATAATTTTACAAGCACAATTAAAAAAAATAATAATAATAAAACCAAAAATAAAGTTAAATATAATATTACAGCCATCAGGCCCAGGATCCCCATTTTTAGGTAAATAGAGACTAATGATATGACTCACTTCACGTCGAACTTCAATGATCCGAATTAATTATTTTGTAAGTCTTGATTCATAGATCATCTTTTCAAAAATTCAATTTAATCTGAAACTATTTGCCTATTTAATTATCACGATGAAATTTCAATGTTTCTTAGAAAATAAAGTATTAGTCAATTTCTTTGTACTTAATTAGACGCCTCAAATATTTTCAATTTGGCCAATGTTTTGCAAAGATAATTTATGAGGTGCAACTTTAAAAATAGGTATGTTGAGGGCTCTACAACTAATTTCCATTTTTATAAAAATCGGAGATTTCTTTTCTTAAACGGCTTCCTTACGGCCATATACAGATATTGGAAGACAAGACGTCCACATTCATGGATTTGAGGTTTCATGAGCTACTAAAAGTCGCATATGTCACACTAACAGCTACATACATACATACATATAATATATACATACATACATATAATATATATATATATATATATATATATATATATATATTATGTGGTGTGTGTTGGGATAGATTAGATTTTGTTGTTGAGAATCTTGGGAAAAGGGTGAGGTAGTAGATAGTAGTAGAGTGTAGAAGGAAAGCGAAGGCAACGAGTTGTATAGTGTGTTTGCGCCAACGGACAAATATAGCAGACTCCATGAGACCATGACTTGATCAACCAAATCAAGCATCCCAAGATTTGCAAGATTATGATTATCTCTAAACGGGAGTGGTTGAGGATTTGAAGAAATATCTTAAATCGAAAAGTTTAGAAAGCTTATAAACACCCCGAGTCATTGATATTATTAACATGAGACTGTAACTTTATCTTCTTTTATAGTAATAGAGCAAATTTACCACGTGTAATAAATTTGCCAAGTGTAAAACCAATATTTCACGTGTGTTTCACACCACCTAATACCTCATTGAAGAAATAAGGCAATTAGGTACAATTCCTTTTAACAACATATGCATTTGGAAGATTCATCCATAATTTATCCACCTGTAGCTCCATATTTCGTTACGCATAATATCTAAGTTAGTTCGGAACAAAAAGTTAACAAACCTTACAAGCGCTTATAGCGAGTTGTGCCAAACTCCCCATATATCCACCCTTAATGTATTCGCCTTTGGTTCCTAGATGCAAAACTAGCATTCGCCTTTCTGCTTTTTACAGTGCTCAACCCACTAAAGCTTCAAGTGGAGCTCACTGAGCCATCATATAGCAAGCAAAAGTGACCCCAAAATTATAAAAGCACTCGTCTTCAAGCATGATATGAGTAGAAAGCAGAAAACATGGAGACACTCTTGAGAAAATGGCAAGGACATTGAAGTAAACTCAAAGGCAAGTTCGTGACACTATCTACAAATTCATGGCCTCTCAGCCCCTTTTTCTGATGGAAAGTTAATTGCGAGAGGACCAAATGAAACCTTCATACACAAAGTATAAGTTAAGCAAAATTAAATATAAATATCACCCTTCATAATAATTAACATTGTTTTCCAAATCCCATCACATTCTCAGAAAATATTCAAATTCAAACACTCGGGTGGCTCCTGAATGATCCAAGGGCCTTGACAGCTCCTGCTCTCAAGATAAATTGGTGGTAGAAGGCTGCAATTGCTGCTCCGATGAAGGGTCCAACCCAGAAAATCCACTGCAACCAACAAAAGAGTAGACAAGAACATATATTAGCGAAAATTCTGTGGAGCTCAGGAATATCTTACGTTATATAAAATTAAAAAATTATAATAATAATATAAAAGTGATGAATAATTAATATTGGAATACATACTTGGTCATCCCAAGCCTTGTCTTGGTTGAAGATAACAGCAGGTCCAAGACTTCTAGCAGGGTTGATGCCAGTACCAGTGATTGGGATGGTGGCCAAGTGGACAATGAACACGGCAAACCCGATTGGCAGTGGAGCCAAAACCTTCAAAATTCACAACAGTCCACAATTTAGCCACCTAGAATACGAGAGAATCTACCATGCAACTGGTTGTATATTCTTTCATATCTCTCTCAGACACGTGACTTTAGAGATAGACACGAGAAGATATACAACCAGAGATAACTAAGAATCTCCATCGGAATATATACAATTGTAAAACATGTATAAAATGTAGACAACAGGACGGTTTGGAACAGGATGGAGGAGTTGGAAAATGGACTAAAACAGTACTTAGAAAACTAAGAAAAGACATGCCCCGTGATTGTCAAGCTAAATAAAAACAAAATTAGACAACTTTCATTCATTTCTGACTCAGCATATCAAATGTTTGCAACTGTTTAACACGAGAAACAAATCAGACCTTAATCAACATTTTAATATTAGACAATAACTAAACCAGTGGTTTTTGAGGTTGTTAAACGAGGTTTTCCTTCAGATGAATGTGAAGCGCCCACAGATTGACGTTGAGACCTCGAGTGAGTCAAGATTCATGACGATACTAGAAGAAGGCATAGCACGTTAGGAATGATGGAAAGGTGAAAAGTTGGGAGAAAATAATTGAAAAAGTTGAAGCAACATGTTGAAAGCAAACAAAATTAGGTGACTTCCGCATCTATTGCATTGCATGATACCCTGAAATGCTAACCAGAAAAGAACAGTTGGCCCAGCTCATTCTTTTCACCCTACTCACAAGGGAAATGCTATTTCTTTAAGCTAGACCAATGAGAGGGAGAGGGTTTGAGTGAGTTGACGAGAGAGACCCTAAATTGTCAAGGCAATCCACTACTTGCGAAATGCAATTCTCAACAATGTATCTTTTGCCGTGAGACTTAAAAAAGAGTTTTTGGTTCTAATAATTTCAAGGGCAACATCTAACATTTGACGAGATTGTGCTATGTAGCCGTTGCAATATCCCCAAAGGAACAGTAAACTCAAGACTTTGCCCAAAGGGTATAATAACCAAAACCACAAGAATATGATCCTATTAAGAACATCTGTATGTGATGAACATATGTACAACAAAACCCTAAAAGGATTAGCAGTAGTGTGTGGGACACCTAACCTTGTCCAAAGGTTAAATAATGGTTGAATAAGGGTATAATTTTCCACAATAAGTTAGAGAAAAATACAGGCCGCTTTGTCCCATTTATTAAATGAAGTTTAAAGTCTTGTACCAAACAAATCATGCACTAGTTCAAAACAAACCAAAAAATTTAAAGTAAATAAAGTGATAAACAGGGAATATATATATATATATATTTATATAATTAATGCATTTACTAGCTCGTTAAAAAAATAATGCATTTTCACAAGTCAAATTTTTCAAAAACTAGGACATGTGATTAAATAATGCATTTTCAAAAAGTATTTAAATTTTAAAAAATAATAATAAACATGTGATGAATTCAAATAAAAAAGTTCCCTAAATTAAAATGGTTTCAAGAAAAATAAAAGCAAACAAAAATTAGAATCCCAAAGAGACATGCTTGCGGATTCTTATTCAAAAATTCTCAAGACACTAGATTTTCTCTAATTTTCTCAGCTCCTTTGTTTTTTATTTTTTTCGAAAGATAAGTATTATTAAACTCGAATCGCAATTTTATAGCAGAAAATAGAGTATTGAATAACCATTCTGAATAAAATAAAATAAAAATCCCATGTATGAAAGCCACCTATACGAGAGACGAACAAAGCCACTAGATGCATATAATATAAAGATTAGTACAAGGAAATGGTAATTGCAAATTATAGATGAAAGGTGTATATGTACCGGAACATGAGAGTCTCTAGCACTCCTCTTGGGGTCAGTGGCAGAGAAGACGGTGTAAACGAGCACAAAGGTCCCAATAATCTCAGCAGCCAATCCAACTCCGGTGCTGTACCCATCGCTAAGTGTGTTGGCACCGCCGCCGTACTTGATGTAGTAGCTCTTCTGGAGAGCCTTCACCAGCCCAACACCGGCTATGGCCCCCAACGACTGAGCCACCATGTACAGAACAGCTCTCACCAGCGACACCTTCCGAGCCAGGAACAGCCCAAATGTCACCGCCGGGTTAATGTGACCCCCTGTTCAATAAAAAGTTACAAAACCCATGTATAAGCAAAATTCAATCCCACAAATTAAACCCGCATGAAAAAATAAAGCAGCTTTTTCAACAAGTACTACATGTAGCAGCGAAATCAGACAAACCCCACGTCAAAGACTTCATCTTTTTAGCTAAATTCTACATATATATACAAGAAAAATACAGAAAACCCACATAAAGATAAACTGTTTAGCTAACTTCTGTATTTTACAAGCAACACCAACATCAAAGACTTCAACTTTTTACTAGTTTATATACGTAGAGATAAAAGCAGAGAGAGCCAGAAGAGAAAACAGACCTGAAATCCCAGCAGTGCAGTAAACAAGGACAAAGATCATGCCCCCAAAGGCCCAAGCAATTCCCAGGATCCCAACCCCACCGCAAGCGTCTAGTTCGCT